CCCACAATAGTGACAGTCAAACCTGTGTATAGTGCCCACATCAGTGACAGTCAAACCTGTGTATAGTGCCCACAACAGCGACAGTCAAACCTGTGTATAGTGACCACTCAGGAACAGTTAAACACCTTGTATAGTGACTACCCAAGTAACTTCATTGAAATTTTGTATTTCATAGATTGGTGATTTATATATGAAGGGTGAATTATTTACTCTTCCTCACCACCACCACATTTGACAGACCATATGATCCAAGTGTAACTCAACATTTCGGGTACAACTAACCGACACATATCTAAACTGTGGAGAATAATTGCCTAAATATGTATCAAATTAATAAGTTACAAATTAGGGAAATACTACAAAGAATAAAAGTTGAAATTGGCACATAATGCTTAAAAGGTCAATCTTACAAAAAAGGTAGTCTTTTTAGCTCATGTACATTATACCTTGGGACTGCCTAAAACCTGCCTATAGTGACCACTCACTATAGGCAGGTTGTCTTTATATAGAAGTGGTCACTATAGGCAGGTTGTCTTTATATAGAAGTGGTCTGACTGTACCTCCTAGTCTTAATTACAGTATTTGCTCTTATCTTCAAAAGAAATGCATATCAACCAAAAATTACATTATTGTATATAGTTAATTATTATACATCTGTCATGGTAAGCCATAAGTTACAGCATACCGTAATTTTGCGGTATTTTACGGGGTATTTTCATCCTACCATATTAGGAAATGCTAATTCCAAATATGGAATGATTATGCGCATAAGCATCCTCTAATAATAAAAACAAACATGGCTGCCACCAGGGTTTGAACGGACTCATACAAAGAAGTTCACTGATTCTGTTCTAAACTTTTTAGATTTCGGCATTCCCATGATGTATCCTTGGTAGGAAAAGATGTATAATAATAAGGTTATTACGAAGATACCTCAAAGTATGCACTCCAGACAGTATGCCGCACATCGACCTCCAATGCCCGTCAGTCGATACTGCCGCTGTACTGTCTTCGTGCATACTTTGAGGTATCTTTGTAATAAACTTATATTATTATGACATTAGAAACAGCTCTGTAATTTATTTACAGTAAAGTCCATGTGCAACTTACCATTTAGCTAGATTTAAGCTTTAAAAAAGTTAAAAGACAGGATTTAACTGTGTTCACCTAAAATGGAAAGATATCCTTTCTTATATTTAATTAATTTTTTTTTCAAACTAATATGGAGTATGTGCTTTTTTTTAAATTTGTGTATGTAATGTTTTACTGTTTTGTAAGTTATATTTTAAAATAATAAAAACTGCTACATATATAATTTTGCAGATTAATTTTCTAAATATGTCTCATGGTAATGTATTATTGTTGACAATACTCACTTTAAAAACTATTAAAGATTTTTATGAAAAGACAAAACCTACAAAATGTTTTCATATTTCAAGGCCTGTAGGTAATCTATTTTGTTCAAATAACAAAAACAAAAAAAGTATATAAAAATGACTACCGGTAAAAATGTTGGCCCCATATGCAAATAAATAATCAGGACATAGACTGGTACATGTTAGGAAGGAAAATATAATTTGATAAAGTGAAAAAGAATTTTGAATACCATATGATGGAAGAAACTAATGATTAGTTTTTGTGAGTTCATGCATTACTAACATAAAGATAAGATCTTGATGATTCACTTTTTTTATTTCTCACATAAAATTACTGACCATATAGTCTAATTATTCATGGCTAAAATATTATCTCATACTTAATAATTAAAGTACTATAATTATAAATTGATTTCAAGAAAAAGAAATTCAAATTGCTAGTATGAGGGTAAAGTTACTGACTTGACATATCTTAGGACCACTGTAGATTCCTCAATGTTTCTGATGCCACAGAAACAACATTAGGGTCATTAGCAATGTTACGATACATTTGATTATACATATGATTACGCTGATACTCCACTTGTTCCTGGTATGCCTGGGCTGTATTTTGATTGGCTGACAATGAATGACCTGCATTCTGATTGGCTTGCATGGAATGACCAACATTCTGATTGGTTGGTAGGGAATGACCAGTGTTTTGATTGGTTGACAATGAATGGGTCAGTTGTCTACGATAGAATTCATCTGGTACAGGGCCATGTGTGATTGGATGTCTGAGATACCCAGATGTTTGAGGTGGAGTCACATGATCACTGTAAGCTATATGAGGTGTCAGGCGTTCACTATAACGTGTTTCCATTTCAGCACTGTGAAGTTCTGGATATCGCTTTGTAGTATCTGTACCAGACATTTCTGGATAACGGTTTCTTGCATCAGATTCTATTATACCCGAATAGCTGTGCTTTCCAACTTCATGGAGTTCAGAATAACGTTTTTCGGTCTGCATATTTTTAGTTGCTTCATTGTAAGAAGGTGTACCATGCCTTAGACTGGCTGTCTCATCGATATGAACTATCTTACTTGAATCTGATGGATTTATGGGGCTTGTGACACTGTGCCTTCTATCCTGTCCACTAAGCGGTCTAGTGTCACTGATTGGCAGATTTATTGGGCTTGTCACACTTTGTCTTCTATCTTGACCTCCTTTTGTACTGTGAGAAGGCATCTCAAGGTTGTGTAACACTCCAGAATCAATAGTCCTACCACTTCCTACACTGTGTCTTGCATCCTGCTCAATAGATCTCTGCATATGGTCCTGTCCAACTGAACTACGTCTCTGGTCCTGCC